TACATGCATGTAAAATTGTGGAAGAAACGGCTGTATGTATATATAAAACTTCCACAGTCGTTTCAACTGCCACGCTTTTAGTCCAATGCAACTTTCTCATGGCACTGATCTCTTCAACTTTTAGCTTCACTGACTGAAACTTGTAGCTTCTCTTAGAGGAATCATTTTCAGCAACTTCAAATACATTGGTAGCTCCGAAACACTACCGAAATTTGCTTGCTCTGATATGAGAACTGAAAGTCACTAGTAGGGTAGTTTGCCTGTGTCATGCGTCAGTGAGTGGTATTCTCTATAATGAAGGACGATTGTTGGGGCAGTCTTTGAATGCGGCGTAAGTGACATACGTGGTAGTTAGCAGTGTACGTTAGATAGCCCAGAAAAGTAATGCTTTTCTTGAGATTGTTATTTTTCTCTAAAAATGCTGGGTACGCCGGCTGTCTACGGGGACCTGACTACTAAGTCTTTAATTAAACATAGTTCAGATTATGTCTGCACGTGGGCGAAGTGGGACAAATATCGAATATGCATTACGACTGGCACAGTGTGTGCATCGATTGGCGCCGCATTTCAACGATGAATATCTTTTTGGGATTGAGCAGAAAATTCTGGACAATTGCCGGCAGCTGAATGTGCATGATGATTGTTTGGCTGAATGTGTTGCAGATTACAGCTATTCTGACGGAGTAGCAGGTGAATAGCAGAGATTGTTTTTGCTCTTCATTTTCTGATGCACTTGTATAGAATTAAGGATTCTTCAAATCGGCATACGCCTTGTGCCTATGCATCATGTTTATTGCCTTAATGATATATAATACTGATAAAAAGGTAATCTGCAGTTACCTTTCAATTTTTGTACACAAAGTCAAGCAGGAATGTTTCTTTTCTCGTTTATGTAATGTGGATACGAGTTTGATTGGGCTTCAGTCATCGTTTTGGTAAGGATTTTGTGCTAATACTAGTGATCCTAGTGGCTTCCTTCACTGGATGTTGCGAAATAGCGCGAAAACAAAAAATTAGAAGTTTAAAAAGAAAAAAAAGTTGTGAAATATGGTTGCCTGTTATTGGCTGGCGGATCATAGCCATAATTCAGCCAGTTTACTCATGTTTAGTGTATCTAAATTGTTCCCCACAATTTTTGTGGAAAATATGCTTACTGTTTATTGGCCACCGCATCTCCACCGACGGCCGACAAGTTTTGTATTTATCAGTTTCATCGTTTTTCTAATGTAACATTCCAGAAAGGGAGGGGGAGAGGAGAGTGGGACTGGACTCCCTTTTCCTTCTCTTAAACGATTCATCTCGAACAACTCGACTCGGGGCGGTTGGGTTCCGACGGCCGCTCGAGGAAGGCTCCCAGCTGCTGCCTGAGGAAATGAAAAGTCCCAGTTACTGCCTAAGGAGAGGGTTATGGCCCATTAATCGTGCGAAGAAGGTCTGAACAGCGGGCCGAGAAAAGAGATGTGTCGACGACTAGCCAAGTGAAGACCTGACAATTGTCTGAAGAAAGTCCCGAACCGGGCACCCACTGGATTTTATACCCTCTGTTGTAATTGCCTCAGCTGCCCGCTGTATTCGATGGCTGCGCATTGCATTCTAAATCCGCGCCGTTCCTTACAGTCGCCCAGGTGTGAGCCGATATTTGCCGACAAAGACATCCTCCAACGACCAGTTGTTGAGTAGGTATCCGACACTGGGTGAAAACTAGAATTGCTTTAATAAGTCTTGCCCGTTACAGGTTATGCGTTCAGTCTAAGAAGCATAGGAATTACAGGAATTACAACCCTTAAGTTTTTAGTGGTTTGCCGGGTAATTATGAGCAGTTTAAATGAAATGATCCTCCAAGTTTAGTAACCTGACTATCACCTTAAGTATAAATTTAAGCCAATTTCATGATTTACAAACCAAAAAAAAAGAACTGTGGCCGTTAAATCTTCAAACACTCTGGAGAAAATTCTCAAGTTTTCTTTTGTTGTAGCCTGTGAGCTGAAGTCGAAATTGAGAATTTCACAGTGGCGGAGGCTAGAAATCTGAAATTATCGAATTTTAAATAAATACAAGAGCCGTATTGAATAATTTCAAATTAGCTTTCAAATGATACTAGAGATGATTTGTTATTGAAATTCATGAACGAAGTAGGCCCTGAATTCGAAGTTTTGATGCTTCTCGCAAATGAATGATTAAATTTCCTCTTGGTGAGCCCATATATGTACAGTGTATTTATCGATGGGATCACCCCAGCGTCTTCTAGTAGGCCATTCTAATTTCGGCTCTTTTGCAGGCCATTCTAATGGCGATCATATCCTGTCACACGGCACCAAATCTACTGAAACGAAAACTGCAGCAAATTCTTGCCGGCAGAAGAATGGGCTGCTATAAACCAGCGATGAAGGTGAAGAGGCTTCTCAGCTATTCCAGTGAAGAAGCTGCGCGTCTTGGAAATTAAAGTGGGATTGGTGCAGGCACGCTGTGGTGAAAAGAAAAACCCTGTAAAATTGATTTGTGTTTTGCTTTCATCACAAGCCAGCTGTTATACGAGAGTTCTGTTCCCTGAGCTTCTGAAGTAGCTGGTGATGTGATGTCTTTACGGATCGGCCTAAGGACCATCTCGCGGTCTTGCGTATCACTTGACTCTGCCATAACGCAAGTTCGTTGTCTGAGAATCAAACGCAGCAGAAATGACAGTGTTTTTCTGTTCTTTAAATGAAACAGTCACCGTGCTGTTTGAGTTTTTGTCAGTAAATGTTTCTCCGCTACGTGTTGCCACATTGCTCACCCTCAATAAAGAAGATACTGTGGAGCAGTCGCTTGAGCGCAAGAGGCGGTAGGAACACTTGTATGCTGTTTTAAGATGATGTTGAGCAGAGGAAGAAAGGCGGCTGTCTTATTCCTGCTTTCCGAAAAGGCGTTTCAGAAATCGCGGCATTTCCGTCTCCTCTTAAAAAAGCTAGTTTTCAACTTTTTTATAAGCAATATAGGAGTCGGGACTTCCTTTTACTTGCTGTTGCTAACCTGAGAACGGTAAAAGCAGTATTTGCTTGGGATTCGGCTATTCTAGCTCGCATTCAGTTCGTTCCAGTTTGCTTGAAAACTTCCCCCTATTCTTTTTTATCATTCATATCGGCACAGCAAAATTTCTGCTCTTTTTTCATAAATTAAGCAATTGCTGGAAATTTTATGCAGTGCGTATGATGACGCTTGACAGCATCTCGCGACTGTTCCACAAATCGATGGTTGAAGCAGGTATGCTGAAAAATTATTCAGAATAGACACAGAAATAAAGTTCCCACCTGTCTGTGGAAGCGTACGAGATTCACGAAAACAGTCACTCTTCAGCTGCCACGTTGGGAGCACTGCTCGGTTCGAGGTGTAAAATCGGAAAGAACGAAATGTCAGAAAATTGCTCTCAATTGGTACTAGCCTGTAGGCTAATAATGTAGTAAATTAGTGGCTGAAAGTAGTGGGTGAGCATGACGTCGTGTAATTTGCTAAATTTGACTTTTTTGTGAAACTTCATTGAAATTGAGGAAAAGAAAAAACAAATTTTTGTTACGAAAAACATAATTGGTCAGGTCTGGTCTTTCATGTGTATTTCTGCAATGATAATAGTAACGGTGATATAACAACGGTTAGTCATAGCATTAATATTAATATCAATAATACTAATACTTGTTAATTTTGATAATAACAATAATAGTGGCATCGTGCGGATATGGGTACTTGGTTTAAGGCACATTTTCTTGGTCCTGAAGTAACAGTCAACGGCGGCAAGGGCAGGTTTGTACGCAGTTGACTGGCTTAATTCTTTCGTGCCAAGTCTATTTGTAGTCAGAAAAATAATTAGAAGTTTGTTTTTGCATTTGTTTAGCAAAAATACAACAAGTTGACCTCATATTGTGCTTTTATCAACTGTTAAATCTTGACATGTCAGTGAGTGGCATCTGCAAGAAAGGAAGCGGTTACTTGGACGGCCTCCAGAACAAGGCCTCTAACTGAACATAGTGGAGGTCGAAGGTAAGAGTTGGAAAAGGTAGTTTATAACCGAAGTGTATGTCACAATTTCTGTGAAAGTCTGACTATAACACACGCAGTTTCACACGATTTAATCCACACTGTGATTGAGACAATTCCGGCTACAGTAACTTCTGCGCACTAAGCTAATCTTGTTTTTCCGGTATCAAACGTGTTAGTGAACTGAATTTGTCTCATAAAAAATGGATGAAGTGGTGTGATGACGGAAGAATTTATTCTTGAGTGACTCATTGGCTTGCAGAGCTAGTTTGTCCACTACAAAATGGCACCAAAGTGGACGACAGTCTGTTGACGAGAGCGATGGGAAGTCATTCGCCTTAAGTAAACTCGCATTGCAGCGATTTAACCCCATCTTGCCGTTCACTATTGTGGCTAATATGTGAGGTAGTCACCATCATCCTTCATAGTTGTCTTTCACCAGTTCTCGTAGCTGTGTCCTCCTTCCATTCCACTTTAATCATTTTTCGCTTCTTTAAACGATGCGCCGAATAAAGCATGCTTTATCATTTATCTTTTGACAAAAAAAGATTTTCATTTAGCTATGGCACTTTCATTCACTGTCCACAACAAGGTATACTAACAACCGTGCAGTCACCACTGGAAACATCATCATTCCTACTACTAAGATAACCCAGGCTGGAACGCACCGGGCGGGCTCGTGCGATCATGTGCTTTTGTACCGGGCTTGAAGTACGCAAACTGCGTGAATGGTTGTTGCTTTACACCTACCTTTTGCGGTCACTAACATAAATCAACATGAATTTTGCATAAAGTAAATGTACAATTTCCATTTAATAGTCTTTCTTTAAAAGTAGCCTGGTTGTTCAGTGAGAAATTCTTCCGCCAAAACTTTAAGTCTCCGTACGTAAGAACCACGCATAACTCAAGGCTGAATTTAAAATATTTAAGTTGGACTAGGAGAGGGAACATTACCCTAAAATTTCAGCTTTCCTGCTTTTCTGCTTCCCGAGTTAGTAATTTTCCCGCAGAAACTTTCACACGCCCTTACATGAGCATCAGGCATAGTGGGCGGCTGAGTTTAAAATGTTTGGTTTGTACTTGAAAAGGGAATATTCCCCCAAAATTTCAGTCTTCCAGCTTTTCTAGTTACCGAGTTAACAGTTTTCCCGACAAAACTTTCACATGCCCGTACACGGGTACTCTACGTGCCTGGGAAGCTAAATTTGAAATTTTTAATTTGCACGTGGACAGGGAACATCACCCTAAGATTTCAGCCTTCCAGCTTTTCTGGTTGCCGAGTCAACAATCCTCCTGCCAATGTTTTCACACGCCCTTACGTAAGTACCACGCACACCTGGGGTCTGAATTTGAAATCTTTAGCTAAAACATGCACAGGGAATACCCCTACAAAGTTTCAGCCCCTTGCCTTGTCTGGTTCGTGAGATCACTTTCCCGCCAAAAAATTTGCATATTTTTTAAGCCGTCAGTACGCGGCACACAAGCGTCCGCGGCGGATGATATTAAAGCTGGAGGGTTGCGCATGCTGTAGGCACATACTGCCAAATTTTCAGCCTTCTAGCTTTTCTGGTTCTCGAGTTGAAAGTGGGTGACAAAAAGTGCGAACACACATACACACAGCCTCTTCTCAATATGCGTTTTTGCAATTTGCATGTATGCAAAAACGCATAGAAATTGCGTCTAGCGGACT